AGGGGGCAGTGTTGCGTCAGCGAGATCATGTGACTATTTTGACGCGACCTATTTTCTAGAAGTATCTTGTTCCTTCGTGAATGCCGTAGCATTTACTAGATATATACTTGTCTGGTATATATATATATAAGACGCTCACAACGTGACAACAATGAGAATGTGTGTGTAGGTAATGAGTAATTGAAATGCAGTCAGAGAGAGACATATTGTTGAAGTTAACGATCGTTGTTATAGCGTTTGTTTTAGCGCGATTGTTGAAATTAAGTGTATCGTAAAGTTGTATTCGGAAAGAATAAACCAGTTTTATTAAGTAAGGACTTGTGTCGCTAAAGTTTCGTCGGAACGAAGTTACGGAAAGTTAATTAACAAACGGAGACGTAACAGTATCATACAGAATAAGAGTTGCTCAATGAAATAATTAATTCCTTATTTCTGTGTAAACTGTATTAAATATTTCATAATCTTAGTGATATAATAAAACCTGTTTGCGAGAATTATTTGATATTCTCTTGTCCAATAGTTTTATTTTAGTTTATTATTATTGATTATACATTCATTTATTTTAAATTTTATTTCTTCGTAAGCTATCACTCACTAAGCTCTCCATTGCTGTGCACTTTTGAAAATTAATTTTAAGTAACTCCAGAGGGCGCTCTTTTTCTGCGTTACATACAACTCGTGTCTTTCAAACGGTAAGTTTAATAATTTTAGTGTATCATTATAGTTTTAATTTTGTTTAATTAGTAAGTTAGTTAGAATAAATGTAATACTGAGAGTAGGCCAGTGCTATTTCAATATTTGAACTGCATTCATAAAACGCTTAGAAGTAAGTTATTTTCACAATTAGAATTGTGAAATTGTAAATGTTCTCATCAATACTAATAGTTAATAAGAGTCATAATTTATTATTATTATCATTATGAAAACTATTCAGTAGTCTTAGAGCACTAGTATTATCAGATATTAATTTAATAAGAAATATATTGGTAAAAAAAATGGAAATAGGTTGATTTTTTTCGTAATAAAGAAGATTCTTATTAAAAATAAAACATTAATATTCTCAAATCATTAAAAAAAAACTTTTTCAACCACTAAAAGAACAGACAAATATTTCATTTACTATACTTTTGTTGTCAAATCTTGATTTTTCCATATAGCATGCTGAAATTATTTAACTTTTTGTATATAAATATAATTGAACTTTATCTACCAAGTATGAACAGTAAATTTTATAATATGTGAAATTGCACTTTTATCATACCAATAAACATTGTTAAATTTTTTATTGATCTATATGCCCATACATGAACATGTTTATGAAATGTATTGAAAATGAAATACATGAATGACTAGTTTAACAATTAGACCAATGTACTACCTAACATATTAGCTTACAACATGGTTAACCATCTCACAACTCCACTTGCATGTCCTCTAGTTGTGGTGGCAGGTGATATGTATAATAAATATTTTAATATTTATTACACCCTCGACTATAGACTGTTTTTTTTATATTTCCTACTAAATCAAAATATCCAATTTGCTGTGCTTAATTTTTTTCATGTACCACAATTATTACAAGTTTCACATTGTGTTCCATTTAAGTAATCTTATATGTAGGTACTTTTGATTATACATGTCTTGCCGACACCATAAGGTGTGCTACACAGTTTCACTTAGAGTTAAAAGTATTGGAGAGTGAACTTCAAGCATGTTTTTTTAGACAGTGAGATAGGTTCATTATGGTTTAATTGCTAGACATAACAGAACTTGTAGGCGACAAAGGACCATTTAATTCTTCAGACTGTTCTTGTATACTCCATCTCCAAGAAAAGTAAAATTTAAACCCATCATTTAGTTTTGAGGAAATCATTGATTTTCATTGTAAATTCTTGTAAAGTGTCAGCCTCTGATACTGTAAATGACAGATCATTCTATAAGTAAATAATCCTGTTAAGAAAAAAACTAACTGAAGCTTAGTCTGTTTTTTTTCAATCTATAACTTATATCCTCTCTTCCTAATATCTTTATAATAAAAGAAAAAGAAGTTAAGAGGCTTTTATACTATCAATAACCCATATACTATCTTATTGAAAGCTAATTAAATCACCTCTTACCTTATTTTATCTTGAGAAAAGGGTATAGCCATTTATCCTTAAAAATAACTTTCATCCCCAGAACTTAGTAGCCCTCCTATGAGCTGTTTCTAATGGGCCACTATCATTTCTTCCATATATACTAAAAACTGAAAACAATATTGCAAGAGAGGCCTAATTTGTGATTTGTATAAAGAGATAATTACCTCTTTTGATTTGTAATCAATATGTTTATAAAAATACATCATAGAATTATTTTAGCTTTATTACAAGCAATAGAAACTGTCTCAATGACTTGAGTGATTTTTCAATTACTGTGTCAAAATTCTTTTCTTCAGTCATGCAATTGAGTGGATTTCTACACGTATTAAACATGTTATCTAAATTTATTAACCCAAATACCTTACCTTGTGCTTATTGTAATTTAAGGTTATTTGCCAAATGTTTTGTCAAAATTGCTAATTGTTTCAATAGTTTTATAATTCTTCGTCATCCTCAATACAATTGAATGCCCAAGAGTTTCATGTTATCAGTAAAAATTACTAATTTGTTAAGCCCCTGCCAGTGTCTAATATAGATAAGAAGGTCCAAGTACTAACTACTGAGGAACTCCACTAGCAACATTGGTCTGGTTTAAATAAACTTCATTAATAACAACTTTGTACTTTCTCCCATCCAAGCACCCTACAGTCCAATAAACTATATTTCCCCAACATCTGCCAATGTGATTTTATTGGCTAGTCTTCTATGTTTTACCTTACCAAAAACTTTTGAAATTCTATGAACAAGAAGTCTACACCCTTTGCATCATCCAAATAACAAGTAACATCTGCAAAATAGCTAACATCAGGTTAAAATTCATGTCAGCTACCTTTTAAAATATAATTTTTCACTAAATGATTTTGCAGGATTCTCCATAAGATTTCAGAACTGGGGGTGAAATATCCTTGAGTTTGAAATTCTAAGTGAGAGTGTGTGTGTGTGATCATTATGTAATAATCAAAAGTCTGGGTAGGCATCCTTAAGTCCATCAAACAGGTTGATTGTCAATTATACATAGGAATATAATACATATAATTTAAGGACAAGGCACCATCTAGGATATTCCATCACTAAACTTTAAAAATAAAACACTTGAAGCCAGCTTTATCATTCAAATATTTATCACACCTTCCCTTAAACTCCATTGAATTAACTGAAGACAAACAATTCTATAGTCCAATCACCCTGTTAAAAAAATAAAGCTGTCTTAGCTGAAATGTTTCCTATCTAGCCAAAATTTAACTTGTCCTACCATTCTCTCCATTAAGTACAAAAATAAAAACAAGATGATGCATCAACATAATCAAATCCCTTTATAATCTTAAACACATGAATTGGATTCTCTCTTAACTCTTCTTTTTTTTTTTAAGAGAAAAGCATTTCAGAGATCATAACTTGTCCTTGTATGACAGACTTTCTATCCCAAGTATCATTCTTGTCTGAACCCTTTTCAACAGTTCAATCTCCGTCCTAAGTTAAAGCACGCAAGACTGAACAAAATACTCCATATGTGGTTTAATCACTTAATCAATAATCTATACAACAAAATTATGATGTCTTCAGACTTGTATTACATATTTTTGAAGATACAATCTAAGATTTTATTTGACCTGCCACTGGCAAGAGCACATTGCTTGGATGGATTCAACAACTAACAAGAACACAAAGATCCTTCTCTTCCATAACACTTAAAGTTATTCCCATCCAAATGTTATTCGTAATTCACATGTCGTAATTCGATATCCCGCATGCATTACCTTGCATTTATCATAATTAAAAGCCATTTGCCATTTATTTGTCCAACTTACCAAGTAATCCAAATCCTCTTGTAAAGGAGCAGCAGCATCCTTCTCACATATGCTGACACCTAAAAACTTAATATCATAATTATCATTAATCTTCAAAGGTTCAACAAGAACAGCTCATACTGCTAGATAACCTGATTAAAGTGGTGTTTCTTTTGATTACAAACTGTGTTTGCATAAAAAGTATATTAACTGTGCATGACCAATTAACAGGACATTACTTGACAGCTCACCCAGATCAATCTGATAGTACTCCTTTCATTGATAGTTGCATGACAAAGATTTAACCAGTATTCCACATCTTGAATAGTTGATAAACGGAAATGAGATCAAACAAGATGACTGTGTTAATTCTGAGCTGGTTAAGAAAAAATAGGGAAGTTTAAAAAATTATAAGGCTCCTGGGCCATATAATATTTCCCCAAGGGTTTTGAAGAAGGTTAAAGATTGGATATGTGAACCACTTACTACAATTTTGTGTCAGCCTTTGAATAATGGGCAGGTACCAGAGGATTGGAAGTTAGCTAATGTAATCTTTTCAAGAGAGGTGATAAAAATTGTCCCAGTAATTATAGACCCATTAGTCTTGCATCAGTTGTGGGAAACGTTTTGGAAAGCCTGTTAAAAGATGCTTTGCAAAGTCATTTAACAAAGTTTAGAATTTTATTGGATAGTCAAAATGGCTTCACTAAGGGAAAATCTTGCCTTACAAATCTTTTAACATTCTTCAAAAAGGTTAATGCTTATGTAGATGAGGGTAAGGGTGTAGATTTGGTGTATATAGATTTTCAGAAAGCATTTGACAAGGTGCCACATAAAAGGCTTGTAAAAAAATCTCTACAGGTGTGGGGGGGATAAGTTAGGAAATTGGATGGAAAAAAGCAGAGGGTTGTTACAAATGGAGTTCAGTCAAACTGGATTAATGTCACAAGTGAAGTTCCTCAAGGCTCAGTCTTAGGGCTTTTGCTCTTTTTTATTTACATCATTGACATAGATGATGGAATAATCAATAAATTACTTAAATTTACAGATGATATTAAGGTTTTGGGTGTTTCTAGCTGTGAAGAGGATGCTGCTGATTTATAAAAGGATTTAGATCATTAATGAGTTTGGCAAATAAATGGCAGATGGTTTTAATTATAATAAATGCAAAATAATGTATGTGGGTTATCATAATTTGAATTATAAGTATAATTTGGTTGGAATAACCTTAACAGTGTTGTGAAGGAAAGGGATCTTGGTGTAATAGTCTATCAATCTCTAAAGCTATTCAAAACAGTGTGCTGTTGCTAGTGGTAGGGCAAATAGGATTTTAGATTGTATCTACAGAAATATTGAATATAAGTCTAAAGAGGTTATAATTTCATTGTACAGGTCACAGGTTAGGCCACATTTGGAATATTGTGTGCAGTCTTGGACTCCTTACCTTAGGAAAGACATTGAATTGTTGGAGGATTCAGAGAGGTACTACTAGAATGATGCCTCGGGTTGTAGGGGTTGTCATATGAGGAGAGGCTGAAATCTCTCAAATTGTTTTCTCTTGAAAAAAAAAAGTTAGGGGGATCTGATTAAGATGTTTAAGATTGTAAAGGGAATTGATAGTGTTGATGCATCATTTTTTTTCATAGTTAAGAGTGAAAATAGGATGACTAGGGGACACAAATATAAATTTTGGCAAGGTAGGAGTCATCTTCAGCTAAGACAATTTTATTTGTCTAACAGGGTGGTTGGCCTTTGGAATGGGTTGCCTTTGGATGTTGTAGGGGGCAGTAAATTTAAGTGAGTTTGAAAAAAAGGTTGATAAGTATATGAATGATAAGGGCTGGCTTTAAGGTTTTTTTTAAAAATTATCTTAACTTAGTTTAAAGGATGTAACAGCCGAGATGGACCAATAGTTTTTATGCTATCCCAAAACGTTTTTACACGTTATCTCTGCACAGACAGAAGAGGCTGAGGAAATCATGTGTCATCCATGAGCTCAACTATAAGTGAGAGGAACCAGACTAACTTGTTATGTATAATGTGTACATTTACCTAACAGTTATCTCAAGATGTGTATATGCTTGGTAATTGCAATTACTCTTAAAAATCAGTAGTAGTGATAGAACTCTAAAATGAATGCATTTTATTGCTTATTTTGTATGCGTGAGTCACAGTTTACATGTATAAATTTATCCATATGAAGTTATTTTTATGTGTGAACTTGGAAATCTGTGCACGAAATACTTGGGGTTCAGGGTTATTGAATACCTGTTTTTTTTACAAGGTTCTTTTATCAAACTAGAATTTTTCTCACTACAGAAGTGAGACTAATTGGCCTATAAATTCCTTAGCAGCTAATCATCCTCTTTAAATTTTAACTTACCAAAAATGAAAGAAACATGCACATGTGACCTTTGGCCTCCTTTAAAACCTTGAGAGAAGCATGGTCTGGTTCAGATGCTTTGTATGTTTTTAATTTGCTTTTTACTTTCCATCAAAAGATTTATATGAACTTAAATTGGATCAATTCTAATATTTCATGCAGAATCCTCAGGGTTAAGAATATTGGTAATACTTCCCTTTAAATGTAAAAGCTCAGCCATTACCATAGTTTTGAACAGTAATTTTTCCATCAGCATCCTGTAAGTGTCTATTCTTTATCTTAATATTTTGCTTACTTTTTACACTTAATATCAGAAAGGATGTTTTTTAACATTATCAGCTTATCAGAGAGCTATTCTTCATAAGCTCTACTTGAATTTACTAATTTTTTTATGACCAGATCATGAGCTTTTCTGTAGTTCTGTAAGTCTAACACCTTATTTGTCAATTTAAACTTCTTAAACTTATGCTCTTTTGCTTTATTCATAGTAAGCAAATTTCATCTTTCTATTATCCTTTTCTTTTTGGAATATGCCTTTCTTGAACTAAAAGCAATTTATTTTTTAAAATTTCCCAAATCTGCCCCACATCAAATTTTAACTTATTATTCCAATTCACTAATGACAAATCTTTGTTTCATGGCTTCAAGATTTGATTTTCTGAAAATTAAGACTAAACATCAAACCTCAGACATTTTCCCACTTCAACTCTTGTAACTACATCTGCATTAGCTGTTTATAACGACTCTAAGAATGTCTTCTTTGGTTAACTCTCTGACTATTTGATATAGAAAACAATATGGAATCATTTCAAAAAATCTCTCACTACGATGTTTGATGCCATATAAGCACAATTAATGTATCAAAATTAAAGTATCCCATAATTATTATATTCATATTTTTATTAGTAACAATCCTGATCTCATTATACAGTTTCTCATTGACCTCATCTGTCCGATCAGGTGGCCTCTAATAATGACTATTTTCAAAGTTTTTATTGGTAATAAAGTAAAAATTATATACATATATCTATATATATATATAGAGAGAGAGAGAGACAGAGAAAAGTCCTAGGTTTGGATGAGTTAAGTGCAGTAGTGAAGGAAAGATTTCTTGAAGCTAGAGAAGAAAGGAACAATGATCTTATTGAAGTTTACAAGATCAATAGAATAAAGACCTCTTTGATTTTTTTGTGCTATATTCTGAAGACAATAGGGAGAGAGGACACAAGATTAAAATCTGGAAAAGACAGGCTAGGATCCAGTTTTATTTCATTAACAGGATGATTGACTTGTGGAATGAGTTGTTATTGGCAATTTATTAATCTTTAAGAGGGGAATATGATTTCTTGACAAATAAAGAGTGAGTTTGAATTTTTACTTTTCTCAAGGTTGTTGTGTAAGAACAGCCTTGAAGGACTGAATGGACACTTGTTTTCCTTATGTTTTGGTACAGTGAATAGCTTAGTCATTTATATAGTGTAAATCTTTAGTTTGTCTGCAATTGAAAATTAACAAATTTTATAGAATTAAAACAAACCAGACATCTGATACAATCCATTCATAAACCTGTTATTTACTAAATGTGTGAGTTTAAAGAAATGGGTGAATGGATAAAGAAAATGCTTATGCAAGTCATGATGGAAAGCACCTTCCGATACGATACTTTACCTCTGTTAACATAATAGCTTTCCTTGATTTGTGCTGCCCTTGATATGTACAATTTTTGCCTGCCACTAGCCTTGAGGCTCCCACCTAACATTATGTGTTTACATATAGTATAGCATGCAAATGAGCATGCGACAATCCTCTACCATTTAGGAGTGCAACACACACTTCTAGCACAGCACAATCATCACTTCTCGATTTGGCATTTGTGTGTAAGAAATTAATGTCGCTTTTTTTAGATGAAAAACCCGAACAACTTGTATATCAAAACAAAACATTTATTAAATGAAATAGTCTCCATTCTTATCAATGCTTTTTCATCTTACAATCAGGTTGTTAATGCCCTGATTAAAGAAATCACTTCACATTGAAGCA